AAAAAAAAAAAAAAAAAAAAGCCCTTCCTTCTGGGTCAGCAGACATGCCAGTACTACTTTCTAGGATTATAAATATAGGGCATAAGCATAAGAAATGCATTGAATATTCTGTTTGCTTTTCCTTGCAAGTCCAAAGTCTCCCAGTATCATGTGACACATGCACCAGTGCTACTGTTTCCCAAATCACAGGGCAGGTAGAGGGGTGGAGAGGTTAAATGATATGCCCAGCCCTTCATTTGAGTTGGTGGCAGAGGTGAACCAGGACTGGAGTTTATGGCTCCTTGTCCTGTGCTTAGATCCCAATCGCATCATAGTCTTTCTCCAGTATGAATTTAGGATGCGTAGTTTGATCGCAACAAAGCAAGCAACCAACAGAAATAGGCTCCTAAATCTTGAATTATTTTCAGCTGTCAACTCTGCAGGCACACTTAAGAATTGCAGTGTAGATGGCTGCCAGTTGTCCCTAGAAGTGATTTCTCTGGGGGACCTTTCTGGTTTGGCTAGCCTACTACTACTAAGTTTGTTGAAAGGGCCAGTACTTACCAGTTGGGTTAAGTGACTCAACTTTTATTTGATTAATATAAAATTTAACTTTTTTTCTACTAATACTTGTTCACGTGGTTGAATTAACGTGGCTTTGATAGTGAGATATTAATGTAGAGTTAAAACAATCATTTGCAATCCAAGTATAGACCAGAACTTTAATACTTTGGTGTCTAGAGGTTGTGTCCTGACTTGGTGCAAAGCACCCCCAGCTGCTACTGAATCTGGTGTAGTTCAGCACCTCTAAAAACAAAGAGCCTTATGATAACAAGTAAGGCATGCCATTGAGATGAATGAGCAGCAGAAAGGAGGTTTCAGATTAAATGCGTCTTTATGTTGACTGTTAACACACATGGTACAGACTTTAATGTAATGGAGTTGTAAAAGAATCTGGCAATCTCCCACTTGATTCACAGTAAAAGCTAAAGGTGTCTTGAAATTTCCTGCTCATCCATGTATCTTCTCACTTGACTCTGACTGCCAGCTGGGTTGAGGAGGTGATGGCTTTTCCTGATGGTAACTGACTCTCTATCTGCTGGCAATTTTTACGTGCAAGAATGAAAGTAGACTAGGCTCTAAGAAGATATTTAGTGGATGCAGCCCATGTGAGTTGAGAACTGAGGCCCAGATTAGGGAGCTGAGTTTCTAAATCGTATAGGCGCTGTTCATATTTTATCCTGTTTCAGGGGTGGGCAATGATTTGGGCCAGTGAACCACATAGGGCGTTTTGCTAAGCTGTTGCGGGCTGGGTCAGTGCTCTTCCCCCATGCAACAGCAACTCAGCAAAACACCATATGTGGGATGGGGCCGTGGGCAGGCAGGGGACAGTGTTTGGGAGTGGGAGGGACAGGCAAGGCCAGGATCACAGGGCAGGGTTATGGGGCAGTGACAGCGCGGAGTCAGGGCAGAGCCGCAATCCTGCACACCCCTGTGCTTGCGGCATCTATGCCCATCACAGGGGTTTGCAGACAGTGGGTTGTGGCTCTGCCCCAGGCCCTGGCCCCCACACTATCTCAGTCCCCAGATCCCGAAGTTTTCCCAGCCCTGCTCACCTGTCTTGCTCCTAGACACCGCTCCCTGCCTGCCCGCAGCCCCATCCCAACTGCTCAGCTGCCTGCATGGGTCCCGATTCCAGCAGTGGGTGCACGGTGGACAGCTTGGGGCAGCGGGGCTGGGTCTGGTGACTGCAACAGCCAGAATGAGCTGCCACTACTGGGGCTGTTGGGAAATGGAGTCCAGCTGCTGCCACACCACCCCAGCCCCACTGCACGCCCAGGGGCAATGGGACTGGCTGCATGTGCCACAGCCTAAGCTGCCTCCTGCTCTGGTGCCAGGTGGGACCGAGGGACATGCCACGGGCTGAACAAAATCCCTTGACGGGCTATGTTTTGCGCACCCCTGCCCTAATTCTTCTAGAATTGGTTCAGGCAGACTTGGTTTAAGTAAGTTTTGCTTTCTAGCAGAGATAAATAGAACTATGTTTTTTAAACAGTTTGGAAACATTTTTTAACTTAACACTCTAGCCAGACAATGTAGTTTTGTCAATAGCTCAGTGAAACAAATGGCAGCACAGGAGCCATTGTTCTACATTAATAGAACATAATACAACTCTAATGTGTCCCTTCAGTTTAATCAACTAGTAGAGTGCAGGGGGAATGTCTTGACGTTCCGATAATATTTTATTGGCCTGATTCCAGCTCATTGCGCTACCTTGCTTTCTTTTCTGCCAATGACTTCTAAGCACTGGCTTTCTCTCTGCCCAGGCGGACACTACCCACCCTCTGACCAAGCACAGGAAAATAGCCTCTTCATTCCGAGATTCGTCTTTATTTGATATCTTCACGCTCTCGTGCAACTTATTGAAACAGGTAGGGAGATTTATGTTTGGTATTGTACCCCCCAAAGCAATTCATGTTGGGGGTGCAAAATGTTAAGCTGATGGCCTGTCTGGTGTACCTGCTATGGGACAAGTCCTTTCTTCATAGAGATGTCTGGTTTTCCTTGCCCCCCTGCCTTTGGGGACATTTTCGCAATGGGTTCCTAGCTCTCATTTCACAGCATACTTTTGTATGGCAGAACTGTATAGAGCCATGTTTATACGCAGGGTGATATCCCAGCTTTCTCTTCCAATCAGTAAGTTAAGAGTCCAATATAGATTTTATAGATTAATTTTTTTAATTATGCTGCCATGACTACACATCTTCCACAGAAAGTATTTTCTTAGGTTATGTGCTTTGGGTGTAAACATTGTTGTGGAGGAAGCTACTGACTTTTTTAAAAAGTCTCTGCATTAAGAAGTTTTTGATGTATAAGCACTGAGAATAAAACTCTACACACACCAATTTGAAAGCTACCAGCATTATCTGATCCTTTTTTTCTCAGTGGTTGCATATTCTTGCTCTTGAGTTAATTATCAATGAAATGAAGTGAAATCCTAGTGAAGGAATTTTTATAGTCCTTGCTTGTGTTAAAAGGTCAAGGTAAAAGCTTTAGGGGAGCCAGTGGTTCACCTTGACTCATTTAGGAGAGAGTTATGGATTGTCTTGTCTTTACTAGGATTTTACCTTCTAATAGTCACTCCATGTTAACTAAATTGTGAGAAGATCATATGTTTTCCCTGTGAAGATGTACCTGAAAAGAGCAGCAGTAAGCATCACTGGACTTTCAAAGTTATTGTGCCGGTATCAGCTCTGTGTGTCAGTCTAAATATATATTTTTGTTCTGGCATAAACATGGCTTGGTGGTGTGATTTATAGAATCCTATAAGGAACTCCAGGGTAATCTGAGACAGAGAAACCAGCTTAAACTCATGCCCGTCCAACTTCTTAGAAACCTCAGATGGAGAAAATTGCTAAACTCCTGTATTGATTGATTATTGTTAGCAAGGTAGTCATGTTGGTGCATCACCTAATGTGATAAATATACCAGTGTGCCTGATTGGCCTTTCTGTCCAGGAATAACTAGAGCAGCATGAGCACCTCTGCACCAGTAATGGCATCCACTGTACGAAGCTTGTGCCACTATAGTTGGTTAGAAGGAGACAAAACTTTCTAGCATAAGCAAGATTTTTACTTGCAAGAAAAAGGGTTGCTCTACAAGGAAATACCTAGCGCTTTATTCCATGCAGGTAACTGATCTGTAACATCCCCAGATATACTCAAAGGGGCACTGCCACATGGGGAAAGTCGAGAACAGCATAATGGTGTCACTGTGAATGAGAAAGTGGAACTGTGGGAATGGTGGGAAATTGACAGTGTGGGTTTTGCCTGTGAAGCTGAGTGAAGTGTCAAAGCTGAACAAACAGCGGGGGGGGGCAGGAAGCAAGCTTGATTTTTAAAAAAAGGAGACTGAAGTATCTTCTTTTTGTTAGTAATGCACCTAACAGTATGGGTGTCGCAAGCTTCCTTTTACATTTTGGCAGGATTCTTTTAAAGTTGTATGATTAAATTAAAATGTTACCTGCCACTCCCTATGGTGTGTACGCACATGCTATTTGACTTGTCCCCAGAAGGTGAATTAGAACCTGGTAGTTTGAATTAAGCCAACTGTTGAGGAAACACCCTCATTCTCTGTCTGTCCATACCTCTTGGGCACGCTGCTTTTGTTTCGTAGAATGCCCTGTTTAAGGACAAATGGGAATGTTTTCACTTATCTCACTTAATGTCCTTGTTTCCCGGTAATAAACACCTACTGCCCCGTTTACTCCTTTGTTATCCATTTGGCAGCTTGAAGAATCCTCCTTTTCATAAGCCAGATGTTTCCAAGGTGATCCTCTTGAAGGGTGAAGGATTGGGCTGCTAGGAGCTAATGATTACATGTGGATGGTTGTCATAAAAGCAGTGTCCAATTAGGCAGCCATTGAAGAACACTGTCTGATACAGGCTCCGCAGAGGGAGAGGCAGACATTTCCAACAGTTTCATGAACTGCTGAGATCACCTTGTAGTGGACTTGAAGTGTAAAAGGCATTTAAAAGCACAAAGCACTGTGTCAAGCACAGACAGTCTGTCATATCCCGAGAGTCCGGGTCCAGGTGTGCTTTTAGAACAGGTGTGAGCTGATCCGGCGTCTCAACCTCAAGAAGAACCTTGTGTTGCCTCAATGTCCCAGGTCCTCTGTGCTCACAACAGGGCTTTCCAATTGGACCAGGGTGTATTCAGATAGTTTGTACAACAAAATGAATGCATTTATTTCCTTCCTAAAGGCTAAGCTGGAGTAACAGGATTCCCTCCTGCTAAATGCGTGCCAAGCAGATAAAGTATTCCTGTGGTCTGTCCTTCTAAAAATTTCATAATCTGATGAACCTTCCAAAAGAAGTATTAGTTGGCACACAAGCATAGGTGCTAGGAGTGTGTGAAGCGGGCCCTATTTGATTCAGGATTGGCCTGAATCGGGGACAATGATTCAATTCGTTGATCCGGATCACCGTCCCTGATTCAATTCAGCCAAATCTGAATCTGAAGATTTGATGCTGGTTCAGAAAATCAGTGATTCGGACATAGATACAGCTTTAAATGTTTTTTCTACATACCTCAAGGTACCAGCGCAGCTTTTGAACGTTGCGATGCTGGGGCGGATGGAGCGTCCCACAGAATTGCGGTGTTTGGGGGGGAGGGGTCCTACATGCTCTGCAGCAAACCTGGAAGCGGACCGGAAATGCTTCCAGTCCACTTGCGGCTCAGCCAGAAAGCTCACGGGAGCCTCCCACGCCCCCCAGCTCAGCAGTCAGCTGTGGAGGGATCCCCCCTGACTCTGGAAGCACCAGTTGCTGAGCCGGGGGAGCACAGTGGGGTCCCCCAGTGCGCTGTCTGGCAGACCCAGAAGTGGGCTGGAGGTGCTTCTGGTCCACTTCCGGGTCTGCTGCCAAGCACTCTGGGGAGCCCCCCACACTGCTGTGGGACACTTTGTGCCCCAGCATCGCAGCGTTCATGAGGCCCTGCTACCTAGAGGTAAGTAGAAAAAACATTTAAAGCTGCGTCTGTGTCCGAATCACCGAATCCCTCCAAATCAATTTGGAGGGTTCGGATTTGATTCGGAGACTCAGCCACTGAATTGGGCCAGATCTCCACTGCATCAAATCGGGGACCAAAGCTTTGCACAGCCCTAATAGGTGCCCTTCTATAGTACAAACCATCCTTCTTAGAGCAGGACTTAAAACCTGAAATGCAGATTCTGATTTAAAAATATAGGGGACATATATATTTAAGTGGGGTCTGAGGTAGCATCTTAGCCTTGATGTCAAGGTAACACATGATGCTTATGGCTGTCGCATCCTATCACAATGGGTCTGTGCTGCAGGCTCAGCTGCCGCTTCATTTTTTTATAAAAACCATTGCATTTTGTAGGCTTCGGGGAAGAACTTGAACTTGAATGATGAGAGCCAGCATGGCCTGCTCATGCAGCTTCTCAAGCTCACACACAATTGTCTGAACTTTGATTTCATCGGCACGTCAACAGATGAGTCCTCAGATGATCTCTGCACAGTGCAGATCCCGACTAGCTGGAGATCAGGTAAAGCTTTGAGGGACAAAACAGTATTCATCAACAGTTTACCTGTTGAAGATATGCTGGCTGACTTACGACCTATCAAATGTCTATGTATAAATCCTTGAATAGGAAACCAGAAGTACAACCCAGTTGTCCCCTTATCTGATTACACATGTGATTCAGGTTGATGATGTACATTGGTCCTAACCACACAGGCACCCCTTTTTTCTACCCCTTCAGTCTGCACTGCATAGAAATCACAAGAGAAGTTGGGCTGGAAGGGACCGTGAGAGGCCACCTTGTTCAACCCCCAGGCAGGCAAGGTCCTAGAAGGATTGAACCTGCCACCTTGGCATTGATTAGCATCATGCTGTGATCAAGTGAGCTAATCAGCCAACCACATGAACTTCAGAAATGGCATGCTTGGTTTGTGTGAAAAGCTAGAATTTGATTTTCCTTTTTAAGAAGACAGAAAATAAACTAGAAGGGAACACTGCCAGTAAGGGAGTTCAGATCTTCCTTCACAGAACTTTTCTTAAAAATGGGGTTCCCTAACCAAGCATTCATTAAGACACTGTTGCAGTGTTTGGTAGTACTACCGCATTAATCGTTTATGTATGTTTGCTTTTTGAGTGTAAAAGGATGTTCATTCTTGACTGCCTTGAGTTTTTCAGCAGCCCTTCCACAGACTTTTAATTACTGTGGATATATGGTTTCTTGGAAGTTTGGCACAG